CCCGGCACCATTTGGCAACCCTACGGGAGCCCCCCGCTCCCGGCAGAAATTTTTTTGGCAACCCTAATTCCACTACATGTATACAATGAATATACCACAAGATTACAAGAGCAAGACCCTTTTTGGGGTGGGGGAGTGAAAGAGCAACAGAAAATACACTGATGGGCTATTCTCCCCACGGGTGGCTGTTCCCCCCCCCCCCCGCAGAGGCAGATGAGGAAGCCCCATTCAACCCAGTGAGTGATACTCCTGCAGGGCCCTCTGGAACTGGCTTTTGAGCAAGGGAAACCTTTAGCTTTACCTATATTTTGTATATTTAAAATTATTTAGAATTTATCATTGTGATATGTCTGACTTCATTTGAGTGATTTTTCTATGAGATTTTTAAAATCATGTTTTTATATATTTTTTGTGTTTTTATTTGAGGCCCCAGCAGATTGTGAGGCCCTAAGCTGTAGCTTATTTTGCTTATGCATAAATCCGGCACTGGATACGCTGCATAGCTACGCCTACAGCCATCACTAGGTCCTATGCATAGAAATCCTGCTAGACAAGGTCATGACTGTCCACATTTGTCTTGAGAGTCTCTTTTAACAGTGAGGCTAAGGGCATGTGTGATTATTATTTACTGAAACTTTTAAAAGGGATCCCCCCCCCCACACACACACACACATAAGTGTAGTCAAAATGCCCATGTGTCCTTCTTACACAGGATCCTCTCTGGGTCAGGATAACTGAGAGGCATGGGATCAACACAGGGTTTTGGGGGGGTTTTTTGCTTTTTTTTTAACCTATTGAGGTTTCTGTGAAGTGTAAAAAGAGACCTCCTGAAATCAGAAAGGAAAGCACATGAATGTAAGAAAGTGTTACAATCCAAAGCCAGCGGAGGTACAGGCCTTAGGTCTGAGTTTGCCCATGAGAACTTGGGGTTTGCCCTGACCTGGATAGCCAACGCAAGCCCAATCTCGTCCGATCTCGGAAGCTAAGCAGGGTCAGCTCTGGCAAGTCCTTGGATGGGAGACCTCCTTGAAATACCAGCAGTTGGGAGGACAGGGGCAGGCTTTATTCAGCCACCTCTCTGAATATCCTCCAGGCCCCCAGTAGGGGTCAGTCACCAGAGGTCGCCATGACTCCCAGGTGCACACACTTCCAGGAACAAGGGCAATAACCATTCGGTTGGGTGCAGATCTCAAAAACTTCCCAAAGTGAATATCACATAAATACCTTGTTTGGATCTAAAAAACCGCCTCTAGTCTGTGGCTTATTGTACTTATGAATGAAATAAATATTTGTGTGATATCCACTTTGGGAAGGTTGTGCGATCTGTGCCCGACTGATTGGTTATTGCTGTTGCCGAAAATTAGACATAATCTTAAGGCCTTGGAGGTTACTGCTCTGTATAGGATATTTCCTAAAGAAGGATTCCATTTGAAACGTTGAAAATAATCTGGGAACAACATTGAATAGGATTTTTCTTATGAAATTGTATATGGTATTCATTTCAAACAGACACTGTTCACTGTATAAAAGATGCATTTCAAACAGACATTACTCAATGCACATGCAAGTTGTCTGACTGTTGATATTTTGGGGTCTGGTGTTCACGGTTGTTTTCTGATTTTGTTTGCAATTTTAGACCATGTTTACCATTATTGTAAAAATGCCCCCAACATGGTCAGATTCCCACCCAACAAATCGGATGCAGTTTTGAATGAAGTTCCAAACTTATGGGATGCATACATTTACCCACAACCCACACCGGCTACTTTGCAGTCTTTAATTTGCCGTTGTTTTACTAAACTTGTTTTGAATTCATCAGGGATGTTGATAAATTCCCACCGCACAGCGCCAATGGGGACTCTTCAGGATCGGCACATCCACTCTATCTTACTCATCCCCATATTCAGCGCTGCCATCTGCCTGCTGCTCGAAGTGCATTTTAGGGATTACCCCATCCTGGTATTACTCAGGATCTCCATGTTCCTGACTCAAGGAACGTGGTTCTGTCAGGTCTGTTCGGTTCATGTTTGTAGGGGTGGGGCAGTTATTGGTTGTCTGAACTGTGGGGTTGCTCATGGAGCCCAATGGTAGGGAAAATTCACGGGAAGCCCCTGTAACACACAAAGGGGAGGGGTGGATATTGCCCCATTGTTTCTCTAGGGCCACATTTGAACCTATGAAGCTGCCTTGAGAGGCAGTTTGGTGTAGTAGTTAAGAGCGTGGACTCTGATCCGGGAGAACTGGGTTTGATTCCCCACTCCTCCACATGCAGCTGCTGGTGTGACCTTGGGTCAATCACAAGTTCTCTCAGAGCTGTTCTCTCAAGGGCTCCTCGAGCTCTCTCAGACCCACCTACCTCACAGGGTGTCTGTTGTGGGGAGGAGAAGGTAAAGGAGATTGTAAGCTGCTCTGAGACTCCGGGTTAAGGGCAGGGTATAAATCCAATCTCCTCCTCTTCTTCTTCTCCCAAGTGTGTCAATTGGTCTATCTAGCTCAGTACTGTCTACTCCAATCAGCAGCAAGTCTCCAGGATCTTAGGCCAAGAAAAGTCTTTCCTAACACCTACTGAGATCCTCTAACCAGAGATGCCACAACTGAGTTTGGCAAATTTTGTATGCAAAGCACATGCTCTACTGCTGTTCACATGAACACATATAAAGCTGCCTTACAACAAATCTGACCATTGATCCACCAAGGTCAGTCCTGTCTACTCCAGAGAGGTCCCCAACATGGTATCCATGAGCAACCACTGTGCCTGCTGACACCTTTTCTGGTGCCTGCCAACTGTTTTTAGAAAGTGGGTGGGAAAGGTTGAGGCTTTTGCCCAGGAAGGCTTCTGATTGGCCATTGGAGATCTGCAGTGCATATTTTTACAAACGTTGCTTTGGCAGCGGCTGCCACCACAACACAAGGATCTTCACTGTGTGACTGAAGGTAAGCTGGGGAAGCCATTTTGTGGCTGCAACACCACACTGCATTGGAATTCCAAAGGGGCCCACACACTGTAAATTGTTGAGGATCCCCGGTCTTTTTAGACTGACAACAAATCTTCAGGGTGTCAGGTAGAGGTCTTATGCCTCACCAGATTGTTTTTTTAACTGAACATGCCGGGGTTTGAACCTTCAGGATGCCAAACATAGCCTCACTTGTAACCAGGGCTCTAGTCGGGGGGGAGCTCTCAGGTACGGAGCTCCGGAAGAGAACCTCTAGGGGGCGGGGCGGTCACGTGGTGAAGCCCTGCCCCCTTCTTTACCCCGCCCTCTGCTTCGATCCTCATTCCGTTTGGGAATGAGGATGAAGCAGGAGGGTAAGTAGCCGGGCCTTCTGACACACTTCCGGTGATGTCAGGGGGTGTGGCCTTCTGTCACTTCCAGTGATGTCAGGGGGCGTGGCATATGCAAATAAGTTATGCTAATGAGTTATGCTAATGAGCTCCGGCAGTTCTTCTTCTACAACAAGACCCCTGCTTGTAACTAAATATTTGCTAAAGTGTTGTAGGAAAAGGATCCCTTTCTCTTCCAGCTGATTTTTTAATTTTACCATTTTAGATTAGATTTCTATCGCGCTCACCATGGGGCACACCCATTTGGGATCCAAATGACCCTGGAACCGCCATGTTCCTCACCTTATGCTTCTCCTGGCACTACCTAGTTAACATTTTCCTCCTCTCCATCATCTATGGCACCGTGTACTGGTATGTAAAAAATCAGTGTTATTCATTTAGACAATATATTTCCATTACTAATTTATCTATATGCATTATCATTGACTGGCAACACATCATATGTAACTATGCGAGACAGCAGCATGAATCATGGGACAGGCCGTGTCTCCGCTTCCCTTAACAGCACCCAACATCTGCTGCCTCTGTGTCTTAGAACATAAGAACATAAGAGATGCCAATGTTGGATCAGGCCAAAGGCCCATCCAGTCCAACACTCTGTATCACACAGTGGCCAGAAATACCAGTGCCATCAGGAGGTCCACCAGTGGGGACAGGACATTAGAAGCCCTCCCACTGTTTTATTGCAACAAACTGAAAGACAGGTTGCTTACCTGTAACTGGTGATCTTCGAGTGGTCATCTGTGCATTCACACC